GTGAGCTTAACATATATATTTTTTTTCAGGGAAATAGAATATTTTATTTAATTCAACATGAAACTCTTGCTTCTGAAATGTTTATTTTGTAAGAGTGCTCCCCAGAATAATCCCAGCACTGGTGAGCTCTATACCAAACTGTTTGATGAAGTGGAGAAAATAAAGTCCTGGAAGGTCAAAGTTGACACTGACACCATGGAGAAAGAGAGGAAACTCCAGGATAACAAAAGAACAATTGAAAACCAACGGAAAGCCATTCAGGATTTGCAGGTGTGTACCTTACAGATAGCTGCTCTTCAGTGCTCTTTGTTGATTGCATACACCCTTGCTATATTCAAGCATTTATTTCTTTTTTGTTATAATGTTGTTTTTGCTTTAATATTACTTAACAGAATGCTTTTAATTTTTACAGTTTGTCAATGAAAATCTAAGCACAAAGCTAGATGAACAGATCTCTGAAAATGAGGATCTAAGAAACATGTATGTATTCTTTTCACAACGAAATTCCACACAAACTATTCCAAACAAAGCAAATCAATATATTTTGAAATTACCACCATATATGAGAATTAACTGTGATTAATTGTGGTTTGAATTGCATGTATGAAATACTATCATTTTGCATATCAAGGTAGTTCTAGGCTCATAATGTAGAATATTTAACATCAAATGAAAGCATAGGATTTCCTTTTTAGCATTTTTATTTTATTTTAAAAAAGGTCAATTCAAACTAAATTCAAAATATTAAGAGGAATAAAAGTAATACTGTGCTTACTTTGAAAGATTAGATAGAATATCAGGTCACTCTCTTAAGCTACTTCAGAAATTAACAATAACACTATAATAAACTTAGCCAATAACTTGACTCAGAGCTTGTCTTTTGTTTTTTTGTTGTTGTTTTTTTTTACCCCTGCATCTTTGCTCTTATTTGGGTCACTATTAAAGCACAACTCTAATGTGCATCAGACTACAAGAAGGTGGTCTCGGTTCGGCTCCAGCCAAACTCTGGTTCATGTCTGAAAAGAACTGTGCTCTGGTGAAATAATATAATTATGTTATGGGCATAATTTACCTTGTCTGTTGTTGGTATTTGCATGTTAAGGAGCATTAATCTGCGCCTTCTCCGTGCACTCTGACTGGTAACGCGTGCTCAGGTCGGTGGCACAAAAATGACACCATAGATGAAAAGCAAGTTGGGGAGAGTAGGAAGAAGAGCGAGCAAGGGAGCAACTGCTGCCAGTGATTTTGTCTCTCTACCCCTGAAGTGACTTTTTCTTCGAAAAGCGGCTGGTTACTTTTCTCTGTGTTGTTGGAGACGTCAATATCGATCAGTCAGTTTACTGTTTTTAGCGAGCAGTCAGTGCTGCTGGATACCGTCAGCGCTGCTGCCTGGCAGTGGCAGTGAGCACTGGCAGCTGGCCAGTAGTGGGTGCTAGGGCGCACCCCAGCACCCCAATAACCTGATTAAAACATAAAAACAAATACAAAATTAAATGATTAAATAAAAATATTTTAAATATATTTTTTAGATGTGCAAGGTAGATATTTTATCTTTAATGATGAATAAAGCAGTTTTGTTTGTTCGGATGGGTGACTTATTTCCACCCTGGGGTGCCAAAATCATTCAGCTCCTTTATTCCTGTGTTCTACAGCATGACTGATATCCTTGAGTTTGAAGTCTGTGTCATTAACAGCAGCCATTTTGGGGTCCTCATACACATACTGGCCATTTCTCAATATATGTACTTAAGCATTCTCATGAGCTCATGACACACTATCAGCCTCAGCCCCAGCACTGTTCCAATTGACAAGAACAAAAGGCTGAGAACTGACAAAATTCCTGAATGTTGCTCTTGCCCAACCCTCTTTACAACCATGCATTAGAGCAGACCTATGCATTCTTCACACTTACAGCTGTCCCAGCATGCACCTTGGCACAGGCAGCTTGCAGGATAGGACTCAAAGAGTTATGTTACAAGTTCACTATTCTGTTCTGCAAAAGGATGTTCTCAGATCATTTACGTTCAGATGTTGTACTTTTAGCTTCATTATGACCCATTTACTGATTTAGTACATAGTGAAAAAATAATTCTGATGTTTAGAGGACCGTGGAAACCAATGGACTTTCGAGGCTATCCGCAGCCAGAGCCAACGTTAGCCTGTCTGCAGCAGCCCATTTTCAGCCTATATTGCCAAGAACACGAGTCTATACTGCGTTCTAATAAATTGAGAATCGGCACTGTTGTATTTTTAAAAAAAGTATCAAAGACTGTGGCTTACAGTGTTCAAAAATAAGGCACTGTACATTCTGCCATTTTTTCCAAGTTTCCAAGCTTCTTTATTGATGACTCATAGATTGAATAGTCACTATCACAATATTAGGAAAAAATTAGCATATTGTAGAAATACAAACTCTAAACACTTTCGTTGGTGCATCTTTGAAAGGTTTTTAGTAGATTTTAATTAGGCCAAGATGTTTGTTTTTGAAGAAAATAGTTCAGTCCTTTTAATCCTACTTTTCAGTTTGAAAGTAGTTCAGTTTAATGTTTTCATATCTAGAGCACAATGAGTTTTAAGGCTTAGTCAAATTCAGTGTATCTGATGGTAGTTGTGATCCTAAAAAGACTGTCTACTTAGACTACAACCAAAATAGGATGAAACAGATGATTTGTTTAAGAGTGTGCACGCCTATCATACATATTTGTTTTATGTTAAATAATACAATGTGAATTCCATATTGAAAATGACAAAAAATTTTAATTAACTTAATTTTATTCCACAAAAACGTATTTAGGATTCTGTTTATTTTTCCATTTACTGTATCTGTTTATATAAAAGTTATACAAAAGTTTTTTTTCTATTGTACCAGTATGTATAACATGTTATTTCTTATATTTAAACAGAAACAATGCCACAAGAAACTTGTGTAATATACTCAAAGAAACGTGTCAGAGATCTTCTGAGAGAACGCATTTATGTAAGAAAAACAACATCAGTGCTACTATCCTGTTTGCATTGATATTAAAATCAATTTAATTATCAACATATTTTTGCTTTTTGTAGTTGAAACTGAAAGGGAAGAAACGCATCAACTTTTCCTGGAAAATAGTGAGAATATTAAGGTAGATTACTGCAGCACATTTTAATTGCTTGTCATACTATCTCAGACATATAAGACATGGTTATTCAATTTTGTTATTTGCAGGGACTCCTCTCAGCATTTGAAAGCCTTTGCATTCGAGTAAAAGGTGACCAACAAGAGATGCAGAAAGGTAAATGTTTAGAAATAGGACTACCCTAAATGTATTACCTTATTCAACTTTGTACTCTGAACTTTAGATAATTAACTGAGTAAACAGACCCACAAAGAGAAGTGTATGTATGTGATAATAATGAACAAGCATGACTTTATTGTCACTTGAATAATAACTACCAGTATGCTTTCTGTACAGTGAAAGAAGACTTGTTGCAGTTTGAAGATCTGAAAGATAAATATCATCAGGAACTTTCAATGAAAGATAAAATGGTTCGTTAAAAATGATTTATTTAAAGTTTCTTTCAGGAGTGTTAGCTAAATGGGCTATTTTAAACAGAAAACCAAAGTGTTTGATTCGTTTTTTCAGGTAAAAATGCATCAGAAACAGCTTGAGGATAAGGAGAATGAGCTTCTGAAGGCATTGTCGAACCTTAATGAATCTCAGAAGTGCTGTGAAAAACTGCAAGACTCCAAAAGTAAGATCATGGATATTGCTTTTTCTATGTGTACAATTGTATTATCCCAGTATCTACACTCAGAAATATTTCAGCCAACTTTAAAGGATTATTTCATGTTATTAATTTTATCCCTGCGTATTCCCTCTGGTCGGAATAATCGAATGAGACGATGGATGAATGGAAAGTTTATTTGTTTGAACTGCATAATGATCGGGTTACCTTTATGCAACCCAAACAATAAACTGAACTCCTTTGTAATGAATACAGTTGGTATTAAATTTGATCAAGCATAATTTACTAATGCTAAATAAAAATACCAAATTTATGTATTTCAAATAAATAAGATTTATTGTACAAATGAATATGGATCATGAGTGTAGAAACATGGTTAACATTTTTGTTCTTAATTAAAATACGTAAAACCTCACATACAAAAAGTAAGGATAGAGTTTATAGAATTTCTTTGTGACAAAAATTTCAGTTAAGCTTTGCCTATACTATTAACAAATAATTAAAGTATTAAATGAACGCTTTTCACTTTATGTGATTCATATTTTGGGCTGTTTTCTGGGCTAAGCTGTATTGTAGCGTACCTATCCGTACTATTATACCTTTATTTATAACATTGACAACATATTTTAACAGGGCAAACATCTGAACTTCTAAAAAGCTTGAAAACGGAAAAAGAATCCCTTCTTCAGAATCTGGACAGTGCTGAGCAACGCTGTGAAGACATTAAGGCGAGTAGTACAGATGTCACTGAGAGTAAATTGTTGCTCTTAAGTTGTTTATGTTGTAATTAAAACCTTAATCTTGGAAACATAATGCAGAAAAAAGAGGAAAAAGCAGCTGCAGCCCTGGTTGAAAGTAAAAAGGAGTATGAAGAGATTATCAGAAACAAAGACCTCAACTTACAAGACCTCACAAGGGGAAAGATTCAACAGGCAGAAAAAATGGAGAAGATGGAAACAACAATCAAAGAATTAAAGGACTCCCTTGGTCTAGAACTGCAAAGGTTGAATACATTCCATAAAACCAACCGCTTGTTGAAAGACTGAATTGTTGTATTTTACTTTTCATAAAATGTTTTATGTTCAAGGGTCAAAGATCTGGAGCATAAATTGATGATGGAGAGCAGTGAGCTTGAAAGAAATTCCAAACTTTTAGGTAATCTACATTGGATGATTGATGTTGGCATTTGTATAATATTCGTTGTCCATTCAAGCCAATTTCATCACTTTTCAGGTGAGACAATGGATGGATCTGCTAAGAAGGAAGATATGATTAAGATGCTTAAGGAAGAACTGGTAAGATGTATTTGTCTTTTATTCAAAAATACACATTTTTCTTTTTCATTAGTGAATGTAAGTTCTTAGGAGCAGCAGATACTAATTTTTATTCTTAGGATATGAAATCAAAATCCACTGGGTTGTTGGAGAGCAAGATTGATGCTTTGGAAGCCAGAGTGGATGGACTTGGTTCTGAGCTGTTAAGGAAAACAGAAGAAAGTCAGAGATTGATGGTGATGCAAAAAAAGTGTATTTTTGCAAAGGAAATTGCATGAGACACATACTTAGATAAAACATGTGACCTTCAATATTGCTGTCTATTGATACAGAATGAAAAAGAGATGGTGTTAGCAGAAAATAGTCTCCTCAAGGACGCTTATGAAAATGTTGAGAGGGCGAAAGAAGATTTACAAAAGAAGGCCGCTTTAGCTGAGGTTTGTACATACTTTTATGACCATTGCTTTTTATTTCTCTTTCCTTGTATTTTTATATGTTGTTTTAAAATGAAACAATATACTATAGTGGTTGATTTAGAGTAGGCCTACCGATACTTCATAGATAAAAATTAAATTTTATTGAAGTTTTTTTTTTCAGGCCTGAAATAGGTAAAATGAAAACATATTCTGGCACATCCTATTTCACTCTTGTTGAAGTTGTATCCTTTCATCTTACTCTTCTTCCTTGTACTCTTTCTCCAATATTTTTTTTGGCCGGTGCCTCTTGAAGACGTAATTTATCATTTGTTTTTTTTTCTCCCTTTTCCTTATTTATTCATTCGTCTTTTCTTTTGTGCCTTCTTTTTCCTTTGTTTCTTGGTTTATTCCTTGTGTCTCCTTTCTTTTCCTTGTTTCTTTCTTTCGTTAAAGAGCAGATTGCAGGTTAGAGCCTCAGTTTTATCAGTATGGAATTGGTTTTTGAATCAAAAATTTTTATATATGAACCTATTTAGGCTTTTTGTGTTGTTTTTCTGAGAAAATGCTACTTTCATATCTAAAAACTGACACTGGAAGTGACGTGACGTGGTTGAGTTTACTTAACTTCATAGCGTTAAAAAAATGGATACCAATGCTAATTCAGACAACAAAGAAACTTTAAATATGTACAACTTTACACAAGTTGGACCTCAATCCTATGGTCATGCCTATACCAAGCTCAACTATACGTCCACTCTACATGATAACTACCTACTCTCCAAACAGAGCTGTGGCAGTGCATACTATTTGACATTCCCATATGATTCAAATGTGATGAGTTAAAAAAGCAGTTTTTAGAGACACTGCTAATAAATGTCACTTTTATTGGTAAATTTAGTTAATTATGGCGGCCAAAACACTTTAAATCCTGTTGGAAACTTTTCAAATATAATCCATTAGACAACACTTAGTTATTTTGTTAAAGATTTCACCTGCAATTGGCTCTTTAAACTCATCCCTTTTATTGTCTGTTTTGCTGTTCCTTTATGTCCATTATTTCCCTCTCCCTTTCCTCTTTATTCTCACTTTGTTACTTGTGTTTTCCTGACTTCATCACTTCATACCCACCTTGTACTAATCTTAATTTAAGATTCCTTTTTCGTTGTGCCCTCTCAAACTCACCTCATTCTGTGCTCTTCCCCCTCTTTCCTTTTGAATTTTGTCTCTTCTTTATAACACCTTTGTTTCTTTTCCTCCTTTATTTTTGCCCTCCTCCTTTTCATCATCAGCCTTCCCCTATCTTCCTGCCTGCCTTCCTAACTGCTATATTGCTGATAAAGGTAGTTTTAATTTACATTTGTTCTTCCGTCGCTAAATGATTAATAAAGAGTGAAAAACTTTTTACTTAGGTAAGTGAGGAGAAGATTGTAAAACTCGAAAAGGAGGTACAAAAACTGGAAGAAAAAAATCAGCATTTGAGGTAAGTTCCCAGTAGAGCATCTTAAAAATGTAAGCGAATTTGAAGTCATATAGTTCAATTTTGTTTGAATAGAGATGAGATGAGTAAGATCACATCCAGAATCCAGGAAACATTTCAAGAAATTGAAAATATCCAAAAGGAAACTGAAGGAGTTGTGAGTACTCCCTTAAACAGTATGAAATAGATACATCTACAATTCTCAAGATAATTGTTTTTTTCCTGCACTTCTATAACAGTGCAATAACCTGCAAGAAGAAGTTGCGAAAAAGGAGAAACAAATAAAAGCTGTGGAAGCAAAGGTAAGTATAGAAAAATGCTAATTATAAACTGGTTAAACTCGTCAAACATGTTCTTATTCTGTGGAGCTAACAACTTATTTGCTTAGTTTCTCAACCTGAGGAAGACATTTGAAATGAAACTTAAACTGCAGGAGGAGTTCAGAAAGGAAGTATGTAATAATGAAACTTCAGATATTTAGCAAAATACATAAATATTTCTGAATAAAACAATAATCTTTCGAACTTTCAGAATAAAATGCTTAAGAAGCAAATCATAAAAGAAACTGCTAAATCCAGTCATCTCGAAATGATGGTAGGACATCTATATTCAAGCTTTTTTTTAGAATTTAAAAAGATAATATCAATAAACATTTATTCTCCTGTTAATTACACTATTTAATGTAGATCAATTGATTTTTTCCCCCTTAGATTAAAAAGGTTCAAAGTGAGACAGAGGAGCTCGAGACACAGATAGAGAAAGATTATCAAAAAAAAATTGAAGATCTTGAATCAAAATCAATCCTAACAGCAGAGCTTGAAAATGAGGTTAGTACAATATATACAATACATCTTTTTTCTGACTACCCTAAATGACAAGATTAACATCAGAACAATTCTTGTCAAAAGGTTCAAAAGCTGAAATTAACATCAGCAGAGGCCGTTAAGAACAGAGAAGAGGCAGAGCTCAGGTGCCAGCATAGGATTGCAGAAATGGTTGCATTGATGGAAAAACACAAGGTAGTGTATAAAGAAGTTGTTTTGTATTTTGAAAAGTGTTGTTGCTGCATATAAAAACATCTGATTTGTTATTTCTAGAGACAGTATGAGCGCATGGTTGAAGAGAAGGACACAGAGCTGGGTAAAAGCAAGATGAAAGAGACCGAAGCAGTCGCTCTTGCAAAATCACTGGTATGCTTTTTTTTTATTGCAATTATTTTTAACTATTGCAATTTCACTATAAATAAAACATAAACACTTCTTTTAATAAATCCCATATAAGGAGTTGGACCTGTCGAAACAGAGGACGGAAAATGAGCAGCTAAAGGAACAGTTGAAGACAAAAGGATCGGAGATGGTTGGTCCTTGTTTGAATAAAATATTTGAAGGCCTTGAAAACAAAAATGTCTTTTGAAAGAGCTTAAAAGTGTCTTGGTCTTTTTAAGGAAAATCTACAAAAAGAGATGACTGAAGTGAAGAAAGCAAAACGTACTGCAAATGACATGCTGTTTTCACAACTACAGAACAAGCAGGTAATGCCAGCACTCAGTTTGGCATTGGTAGCATTGTTTATAATCTGTGCCTGTCAATTAAATTGTCTTTTACTTTCTAGTCAAATGCTTCAGACTCTAAACAAGAGCTAGGTCATAATACTCCAAAGAAAGGTTCTTTAGAGATGTACGATTTCTCCAAGACCAAGAAAACATCAAACAGGAGTCCTGCAGTTCCCAGAAAAGCTGTAAGTTTTAATTTTTAATGCATTATAGATTCCAGAGTTATTATTGACTGATGGTTGACATATTAGGGGAGCACACTGAGGGAGGCGTCAAGGGGGTATCTGAAAAAGATGTGCGAGCCATCTTAACGCCTCTCAACGTGGAGTAGAAGTGACTCTACACCCATCCTCTCCCAGTAGACCGAGCACCTCACCCTATCTCTAGGCCACCCAGCCACCCTTGTTTGGTCATTATCTAGTTTTAATGACCATAAGACCGGAACGTAGAATGATGGTAAAATGGGAGCTTTGCCTTTTCACTCAGGTCTCTCACAACAACAAGCATGTGCAGCTTCTGCAATATACTGGAAGCCACACCAATCTGTCTGTGGATTCCCCGCTCCAAAGGTACTTGAAATTTTCCATCTTAGGCAGGAAATTTCATCCATTCTGACGGGACAAGCCACCTTTTTCAGCCAGGAACCTTTGCCTCGGACTTAGACCAGTTTGTTCATAACCTTGGTCACACTCTACTGCAAACTGTCCCAGTGCATGCTGTAGGTCTTGGCAGGAGGGAGCCTGCAGAACCACGTCATCTGCGAATAGCTAAAACAAAATCCGCTGGTCCCAATCTAGTCTCCTGGATTTGGGCTGAACCTAAAAATCCTGTCCATAAAGGTTAGGACCAAGATCGGTGATGGAGGACAGCCCTACCGGAGTTCAACATTTACGGTACCTGAAACAGGTCCAACTTAATGCCAGCAATGACTTTAGCCAAGGTGATAAACAAGTCTGGCTCTGAGCACCTTGTCTCTTCCTCCGCCACGGAAAGTTTTAAGGTTGAGGAAACCCTTAAAGTATTCCCTCCATCGTCTGACAACGTTTTCCTTTACAGTCAGCATTTCCTTCACAGTCAGCATTTCCTTCCTGCCACTAAAAACAGTGTTGGCAAAATGCCGCTTCCGCCTCCAGAGGTGCCTCCCAGTCGCCCAGAATCCCTCTGATGCCATTTTACACTGGCCGTTTCTCAACTTGTGAACTGTTCCAATTCACAAGAACAGCAGACCGAGAACATTCACTTAATCGACTTGTCCATTGTGTTTTCCTCTCTAAGATAATGATTTGTAGGCTCCTTAGTGGACCACAAGGGAAAAAAGAAAAAGTAAAAGAAAAAGTGCCCTCAAAAATGCTCCTAAAGGGGAACGCTGTTTTTTTTTTCTACATTAGCCCCTTGATTTTACGTTATTACATCATGTTCTACTCACCCATATGAGTTTTGTGTCATTTGGAGCTGCTCTGAAGATATTCTGTTAGGTTATATCCGGGGCAGGCCACCACAGTCTTGTTTATTAATGGAAAACACTGGTTTATCTGAATGTGTTAATTATTATTCCCCCACTAAATAAAAAAAGTAATAATATTATCTAGAGACTATTAATAACAGGATGTGAAATACAGCTCTAGACGAGCCGGGCATGTGGTGACGTCACAAGTACGCCTCTGTTCCAATTGACCCATATTTATGCTGCGTGCTCCCGTTCTCCCCGAGTCCATACTTTCCTGTGTTCTTTTCAAGAACATACTTGGCGAGGACACGAGTCCATACTCGCGTTCTTATGAACTGGGAAACGGCCAATATTTTAAACATAACTGCTTTTCCTCAGCTGTATTCCATCTTCAGATATCTGACATTTATTTTTGCACTGGGTTTTTCTGTTATCTGTCAGGTGTCAGCCAATAAAATAACCAAGACAACATGTGAAACACCAGCAAGGAGAAAGGTAAACAGCATTTCAAGTGTTTAATAATCTTCTGCTTCTGGTTTAAACAGAAATTGAGTATTGCTGCTATGTGAAGGTAATAAACTTTGTTTTTAACCAATTTTAATAAATCTGACTTTGTTTTACAGCTTGTTTACAACAAACATACTATATCCTCGGTGACCAAAGTAAGATTGATGGACTATCAAAAGAGTTATGCACAGTTTATGCTGTTACATTTTCCCCAGGGAACAAAAACATTTTTTTTTCTCCTTTGTGGTTTCCTCTCACAGTCGTACAGAGTAAAAACACCCCCCCTAAATGAAAAAGCAGGATGGTGGGGAACCAGCATCTTTGAAAAGGACTCCAAGTCTGACAGCTCAGATCATATAGATATGGTTGTGAGTACTGCTTTTATCTGTTGAAATGTGTCCTAAACCTGTTTGGTTAAACAGATAATGTTACTATTTCTGAAACGTTTCAAAGATGCATGATGCCTTTTCTTTTTGCGATAGACCTGTGCAGATGACCCAGCACCGACTGATTTTGCTCTTCAGCGCAAAGTTAACATGTACAAAAAGGTAAACTGACAATAATAGTGTGTCTAATTATTATGCTGGACAGCATGATATTGTTAAGATGAGATGAGAAAGAATTTACATTTTCTTTTTTTTTTATTTGTTTTTTGACGTTGCCAGATTCAGAGCCCCATCGATGTTAAAACACCTGGAAATTCCGTAAAGCTGGCTGCAATGAAAAGAATTAGAGATGCTGGTTGGACTGCTGTCACTGGCTCTGACAAGAAAAAGAAGACGACCAATGAGAAAATATTTGCCTAAGTATTGTCTGTACAGGTCAGGTTAGCAGATAGTTATAGGCTGGTGGTGTTTTGGATCTAGTTCTAATAGAATAATTCTCATATCTACATGAAAAGATTTTATGAGCTTTCATAGTTTTAGCGTTATTCAGTTATACTTCATTTGGAATAGTTAATATTGTTCATTTACTTTAGCAGTTGACCCATTTGACTACAAGGTCAAGTTTTCTGTTATAAATTCTGTAAAAATGCTTTAGCTGTTTTGCTAAAAGTTTTAATTTGTATCGCTTGTTGTTAGCTTTGGTTGACTTTGTAGTTAGTTTGCTGTGTTAATGTGGTAACGTTCTAATTGAAGCCATACTAAACACAAAAAATGATACCTTCTTTGAAGATTGTTAGTCCTAATATCTGTTCTTATACCAAGAATTGTATAATTTATTTCAGGAAAAAACACTGTAGAAGTTGATCAGATGTGAACACAAAGTCACCCTCTTTGCTTTCACTTTCTTTCAGAAAAGATGTATTGCTGTTTGAAGAAAGTTATGTTTAAAACTTTTAGCTATCGAATGAATTTATTCTAAATATATCTTATTGTTAATTTGGCATAAACTGTAGTTATTAAATCCTAATACATTTATTATTGGTGTAATTAATAAATACAGTGGTGAAGGTAATAAAGGTGTTTCATGAATAACAGTTTTTTAAGCCATTGGTATTCATTTTGTTTTAATTTTTATTAACGTATGGGAAATAATTCTACTCACAGGTCCCAACTTCTAATACGACTCCCTGGATGAGAATGTTTTTTTTTGTTTTTTTTTCCATGTCAGTAGGTCATCAAACACATTGGTGATTTCAGATCTTTACTTTAATGACGGAATTCCAGGCGAAACTGTGACTGTTCTTCATGAGGGGGTGGTAGATTGTCATAGATGGGATGGCCATCATAAAGTCCTCCGGAAATAACAAGGGTGTCCTCATCGACTGTGAATCCATCTGTTGAACATAGAGTAGCTTTAAGTGATAATGTTTACTGCGATAGGTTGGACTCGCTACATGAAAAGCGTCAGTCTTACCCGTGTCATCTGTGGTGTGCAGAGGTTGATGCAGGTACTGAAGTTTATGCTTGCATTTGTAAAGCATGATCATAACCGTTGCCAAAGCAAAGAGACCAAGCATACCACTGAAGATTATAGTCAGATTCCTCTCAGAAATGTTAAGTTTCAAACCTAATGATATAGAAAGGTAAGGTGTTGACAACACTGACAGAGCAAATGGAAGGAGTGGGTATGAACTTGTTTAACACAGATGCTTACCTTCTGTGGTCTTTGGTGGATATGTGTATGTTGTGACACTGTGAGTTGAATTTACAGTTGAACTTTCTGGCGTGTCAGGTGTACTAATGAAAGCTGTTGTAGTCTGGCTGGTTTGTGTGGAAGATGCGGAAGATTGTGTTGTTGGTAACTTTGTTGATGAAGTCATGGTGGTAGCTGACTGAGGCGTTTGATGTTCACTTGTGTTTTCAGTTGAAGCCAATGTGGTAGTGAAGGTTTGATTGTTCGGGTTTGTGCTGGTGTATGTATCCGTTTCCTCGGTTTGAGTTCCAGTGGAGTCAAATGAAGCTGTGGTTGTACTGAACTCCGTCAGGTTTAAATCAGTCGTTGAAAATAAGGTCAGGTTTTCTGTATGAGCCTTTTGAAAAGACATTAATAGGAGGTAGAAAACTAGGGGTGCCAAGATTGTTTCCATAGCTTGTATATCCTGTACTGGGCAGAAAAAACATGGATACTGAAAAGACATGCAATGCTTGGAAGATGAACTCATCAATCTCTCTATAAATGCCTGAAATAATTAATAGAGCTCAGCCTTTAAATCCTAGCAATAATTGTCAGTATGGAAATTAAAGTATGTTCACTGCGCTTATGTTAGTGGTCAGGTTTTCTGTTTTTAAATATTAGAATAGAATATGGCCTGAAAAATGCATTTCGACTGCTCTTCGCAACCTCTTTAGCTGCAGCGATTACTTTTTCATTTTTATGCTTTCATTTAGCCTAAAAACTAAAGCTTACATCCTGCTTAGATGATTATAATGTTTGCTGGTACAAATTCCAAGAAATGGTACCTCACCTTATATTTTGAGGGGTGAAAAGTTTGATTTTTACGCAGTTCCTTGGTTCCGAGTCTGCATCTAAAACAAAGACTCTTCCTGGAACAGCTTCAAGACAGATTATCTGGCTCAGAGACAGGTAAAAGTGGGCAGGGCAGTTCTTTGTCAACTTCCTCTTTTGTTTGTTTCCAAGGAGACAAGGGATTGGTCACTCACAGACAGTCCAAAGCTCATGCTCTACCCTTTAGCTAACATGCGTTTTATAACCATTAATAAACAGACACATAAACATTAGTGTTACCTGCATTGTAAAACTCTATTCTTATATTTTTTATTATCACATCAACTCTGGTAAATGGTTCATTCAGAATGTATGTGTTTGAAGTCTGTGAGGTAAATTTAAACAGTACAAAATATTTATTGAAAAGTAGAAATATTTTTCATAGAGTGAAGAGTTTTCATGTAAAAAAAACACACAATTCAGCCTTCATTTCAAACAAATAATGACTTTTAACAAACAGTAAGTGTATTTCTGCTTTAGTATGAAAAAAAAAAGTCAGGTAGGCAGTATTTTTTGTAAATCACCCATAAAAACAAAACAAAGTGCAAGATTACATTACATTACAATACTGCAACAGCACAGCTAAAATATGAAATGGAGGTATAATCAATGGACGCTCAGAGATGGTAACCTGGTGCTGTAAAGATGCCTTGTTTTTACTTAAAAAAGTACTTAAAAATAAGAAACTGTTTTTGACTTTGATCTGTTTGTGTAAAATATTTGGTTTCTTTTAAGCAGTTTAAATATAAATGATCAAATTCTTAATATTTGCATTATCAGAGAAAATAATTTCTCTTTAAAAAAAAATGCCCATTACATATTTTAGATGTGTTTAATGAGTATAAATATCAACAGCCTTATAGTTTTGTAGAAATTTCAGATTCCTTGATTGTCATATCCGTTTCTGTAAATGCTTTGTTGTCAACTCCCATGTGAAGGTCTGTTGGAGCCTTTTCCATCTCTCTAGATTCCTGCAGTAGGTTAATAACAGAATGAAACATTAGGAAGGCATACTTGGTTTTTTGCGTTACCTATTATCTAACAACATGCCAGGGTCAGCATTTTACCTTTGATTTACTGCAGCCACGGAAGCATATCAAGTCAGCTCTTCTTACGAAGAGGTCAGAGTTCATCTTCTCTTGTTTGCATCCGCCTATAAAATTGAAAAAAAAAACAACTTGTTCCTCTGTTGATTAACCATTAAAATTAAACATTAATGGTTCTTCTTTCACTCTGTCAAAAGCAGAGCGTCAGAAGTGAACTCTAACCTGTGATTATGCTCACAAGAAGGCCTGTCCCCACCGTGATCAACACGCCAAAAAGAGAAAAGTAGACGTAGGACAGAGAGTACCAGGTGTCTGCTAATGGAGGCCTGAAACTGACAAAAAATGAATAGATTTAGTGCTTGCCTGTAAAATTCACTTAAAATAATAGATAATTATTGATCAGGTAATTCAGAATGCATAAAATTCCACCGGTAATTTTTTTATCAGCAGGTGGAGCTATTGTTCTACATGATGTAGAACAAATATAATACAATAAAACCTGCCTTTTCTCAAGAATGTCTTTATTACTGCTGTTCAAAAAAGACCTATCCAAAAAAAAAAAACAATTTTGAGTCATGTTGAACTGATGCAGATTGGTCTGTGCAATTTCAATTTGTATATTAGGAACCTAGAGGGTGTTAGCTTTCAAACTATGTATTGCACATGTAATCTGGGCTTACAATTCCTAAGTTATTTACTTTTCAATTTGGATATGCAAAATAGGTGAGGATACCCAAAGTGAGGTAGATGTTAAGAGGTTAATTTGTTGAGAAAACTTTGAATCTTTCAACTTGTTGTTTTAGAGAAACATGGAATGAGCTGTGTCATTTATGGGGAGGGTAATTTGGTAATAGCAATATCACAACACATATTTCAAATCTGTTTTTCACCTTGAATAATCTGCCTGGCTTCTGGTTTAAAATAATAAATTCTTTACATCTAAAGAAAAAAAAAATTCCCTGTTTTTATGTAAAATGACCAACTCTGGTTGTGTTGTCGGGATGGCTGAACTGGTCCATGGAGTTGCTGTCGTGTTGTTTAGGTCCATTGTGTTGTTGCAGCCTACAGTGGTGACAGGAAGGGGAAGTGTCTTGTTAGGTGTTGGTGGGTAAAGCTGAGCTCCAATCCCCACCCATAGGGTCAACGCCAGCCCAACGATCAGTCCAACCAGTCCTCCCTGAAAGGTAAACATGACCTCAGTCAACTTCCATCTCATGGTGTCACATTCCTTTTTCTACAGCCAATGCTTTGTTGTCCAGCAGTTCAGTTGTGCAATAAAACTTTCCAGTTACATCAAAAACACTCACTGTTGGATTTGTTGTGCGGAAAAGAATGCCTAAAAAATATAGGCCAAGAAGAGGTCCACTGATCATACCAAATATGGACAGAGCTGCCTGAACATAGAACAAAAAAAAATCAACTGGTAGCTCTTCAGACTTACCACTTGGTGGTGCTGTTGAGCTAAAAACAATCGCAGCAGATGCTTTATGTTAAATGAGAGTTATACCTGCAGAACACTTCCCATTGCTGAAGCAACTCCAGCCATTCCAATACACACACCTCCAAAGAACACACCTGGGTGTTGGGAGATAAAAATATCTTTTATAGAATGGTCTTAGAATTGGCAAATATATTTTTTTCCCATAATCAACAAAAAAAGCAACATTTTGGCTCGCTGGGGGAATGCTAAATTTTAAATTAGGTTCTTAGAATCTATATGCAAGCTATAATGAAAACTACATCATCTAATTTTGGAAATAGGTATATTTTAGAGTGCAGTAGCCTTTTAGTGGAAGCGTTTTTCCTAAATTAGAGCAGGTATGTAGAATTTGTCTCAGGGAGCCCCACCCTTCATTTGGGTTGCAAAAGCCTTCTCAGAACCAAATTAATCTTTGATGCGTTTCTCAGTAGAGCTGTCACACTACTCTGCAAGTTGCTGGAATTAAAAACCTGCTTCTGGAAATACGCTCGTGTGAATTACCTACAAAATACTCTGCATTGTGTGCTTCTTCACAGTTGTTAGGCAGCAGTCATTTATTTGTTATCCTACAGTACATTGAACTGGAAGTTCAAATACTTTTTATCTACCAAAAAAACAACCATTTAGATAAGATAAGATAATGGAAACTGTTGCTTTTCTTAGTCTCTCAAAGGTCAATATACTTGGTTGATGTATGTGTGAACATAAAATATGAATCTTTAAAACTCACTCAGGCCCATGTTCATCCAGCTCACTTGCTTCTGTGTTAGATCTTTCTTAACTGGAAAAATGAAGTCTTCCACAGTGACAGCAACGAGAGCATTAATGCTTGAGGACACGGTGCTGAAAATGTGTAAAGGCAAAAGTTTAGTAAAGTCAATCAGAAAAGGATTAGTGCAAAAATAACTGCATACATAAGTATGGGATGGTGTGTATGACTCCTAGGTTAAAAGCTGTAAAACGTATCTGTTGACGAGACAAAGTCGTGTCTTAAAAGTAAAAAATTAAACCTTATCAGTAAGAAGCATTTACTGATGACATAATTTCTATAAATATCTTTTTCCTTCTTTGTTTCAAGGCTTACCTTAGGGTCCCACTGTAAGCTGCAGCCACAAACAGGCCAGGAATTCCAGGATAGGCTCCCAGGATGTCCATCACAAGGTATGGCAGCAGCTAGTTCACAAATACAAACCAATTTTTCTGTCAAACCTTGTTTTCGTACTCAGCCAAAAGGCGTATTATACATGTGGTTGTCAGTTATGTAGAAAATGCTATCAGTCACCTGGTCAGAAGTTTTTACGTCCCCATTTGTAAGTGGGTCACAGTTTTTGTAAATGGAGTACATAGTGAGACCAGAGAACACAGCAAGACTCACTGTTGTCCACAAACCAACCATGTTAACATACAGAGCCCTGGAGGATCAGATATGACTTGTTAGCACATGAACCTGTGCTCACTGCCAAAGGTGCATATGAATTACAGTGTGGTTATGCTCACATCTTGGCATGTCCCAAGGTTTTGCAAGAGATGTAGCGCTGCACCTGGGACTGGTTGATTGAGTAGATAGAAACCCACATTATGCTGCCACCAATCACTATGGACCAGAAAGTATGGCGCTTGAGAGGATCTGGATCAAAGCTGGAAAAGTTCAACAGTATGAGAGAGTTTAAAACATGCCCAAACACATATTGCCTTTTTGTTTTCTTTCAGGTGTTTCCTTCTTTGGATATACTGTACTTTGAGGGTTGAGCAGGGTTTCTATCTAAAACACTCAATGCTTGCAGTTTGTCTTTAGTTTCTTGTCCTCCGACTTGGAAAGTGTGACTACTTTAATGTAAGTTTAAACAATATTTAGAAGAACTGCTGTGCACATACTCAAAGGCCTTCAGTCGGCCTCCTTCGCCAGCATCTTCCCAGATTCTTGTCAGGCCGCCTTGTAGTACAGCTCCTCTTGCTATAACAGCTACAAATCCTGCCAGCATGATCACCATCTGCAGCACATCTGTCCAGATAACTGCTTTCAGGCCACCCTGGTACAGAAATCATATTTCAATAATAATAAAATTATGCTAATTTAGGTCATCCATGACATGTTAGTTCTCGATCAATGATTTATCACACCAATAATAGATATCATTCATATTACAGCCTCCAATATATGATATGATAACCTCAAAGTTCAAATGTGGTCTTTTTTCATGCTAACAGCACAACTGTTAGATCTACAGTAGTCATGCTAACTCTGAGTTAAAGTCTAAATCCTCTATTTCTTTTGTTTTGAATTTGCATTAAATTAGGTATGTGCAATCCCTGTTTATTGTGAAATAATAATTAAAGAAATACGAACCAAAGTACAATAGACGATGCATACTGCCCCTGTTGCCACCAGCACTCCCCAGAGATCCAGCCCTGTGACTAAACAGTCAGGAAAATGTGCTATTGTAAACAAATATCCATTCCATATAGCTTTTCTCCATCTTTCTGTGGGTTGTTTATTATTTTATTTATCATTAAGCATCAATTTATAACTGCTGAATCAGTGTGAGAAGATCCGACAGAAGACTTACTTTGATTTAGTGCAAGAGCTGGAGCATAAATGACCAAACCTGTGTAAAGGGCCTGAAAAACAGCACCATCAATAAATGAGCTGCATACAGAGAATTGTTGTATTACCATATTCACATCACCATGGTACACATATCTATAATCAGTATTGCATGATGTAAAAAGAGAAGAGACCAGATGCTATTTGTAATTTTATATTTGCATCATAGAGACTTTGTTTTTCTTTTGTTTGTTGTCTTATTTGGAAAAAAAATGCTTAATCTTTATGATTGGCCTGAATCCTTATCTTATTTTAATTAAGAATGCATGCTTTACCGTTTGCACAATGTACATTGATGTTCCAATGAGCCGGATCACCCGGTTAAAGCGCAGCTCCAGGTACTAGAAATGAAAATATAAGCAAAAGATTAGACCTAATTTCAAATATTATCCAAACACGCAATAAAATCATTGCAAATCATTGCAAAAAGCTATGATTTGATTGATTTATTTCTAGTTTATTTGAATTTGCCATATTTTAGTTCTTTCTGTGCTGTTTTAGATATTTTATTATTTAATTTGTGTGTTTTCCCTACATAGTGTTTTTTTATTAATGTCATCCCAATCATTTGTGAGTCAAGCATAAAAACAGCTCTGTTAGGGCCTCTGGGGTTTCGCTGTTTTTCTGGTTCGAGTGAGATTCCTGTCACAGAGAGGATTTGTGCTGATGCCTGGGCTGACCCCTGTTTCTGCACACCTGAGAATATTTCTCAATCAGGATGACTAGCGTTAGCGGTGTAAATAATAATCGTTTTGTATCGATGTATCGATCCAACTGCCGACGATCCGATGCATTGATACGTCCACGATAGTATCAATTCTTTTTTTTTTTTCTCTCCGGTCTATTTTTATCCATTTGCTCCTGGGCGTAATTCTCCCTCCCGTGCTGCGGTGGCGCTAAACCTATTTTGCCCTCCTACCTCGCTTCCTGGTTATACTCTTACAGCAGTGTGTTGCAGTGAGCTTGATACAGACATTTTTGATTTATGCTCAATATTGAAGCGTGGTCTGAGCTACATGCTGTGGGTCTAGATACGGCCGAGGCGGCGAGGAAGTGGGGGCGAGTTTAGTACGAAGACAGAGGGACATGAGGGCCAAAAAGAGCGGAGATCCAGAATTGCACTCATTGCACGGATTTTGTGCAGTATTTTTTAATGTAATTTTTTCTACTTCTGTTATTTGCTGTTGTTTCTCAAAAAAATGCATAACGATATTACAGCTTTCATTGATTTATGTCAAATTTGAAACATTGTCTAGCCTGTAAGGTGTAAAAAAAAAAAAAAATTAACCAATTAATCGAATCGTATCATGGTGTATTCTTGATTATCGAAAATAATCTAATTGTTGGGTCAGGAAATCGATACTGAATCAAATCGCCATGATGGGTGTGATTTACACCCCTAACTAGTGTGTATACAAGGAGGTAAAGGATCATCTCTTTTCATGGATTATAACCTCTGTTATTCCAGCGAAAGACTTAAACTAGGAATATCCTAATCTGTCTTCTTGTGAATCTCTTTTACAATACAATATAAATCCCTTTATGGTCCAACAATGGGAAAATTCTCTGGTGTTTACAGGAACAAAAAGATTATTTAAAACAATTGTCACACAAATGTGGACCGTAGAAATATTTATAAGACTAATATAATACTGAAGAGTCAAACAAGAATATAGAGATAAACAATAAAATACTGTACTGTAAAGTGTTTTGAAAATATAAAACTGTGCATCTGGAGAATAAATAACCAATATACAGCAATTGACATTTTTACAGTAATGGATATTTGAAAATAGCAGCAACATCAGAGATGTGCAAAATGACAGCAGCAGGTTATTTAACTGAATGAGGTAGAAACTGCAATATAAGCATGAATGTAACAACTTATTGAGGTTTTTGGGAACAGTGGTGGTTCTAGAGTCTTACAGCTGCTGGGAGGAAGGATCTGTGATAACGCTCCCTGTTGCATTTAGGGTGCAGCAGTCTGTCACTGAAGGAGCTCTCTAGTTCATTAACAGCTTAATGCACGGGGTGGGAAACATCCAACAGAGATGTTAATTTAGTTAGGATCCTTTTGTTTCCCACCTCCTGGGTTCAGAGGGCATCCAATCATAGAGCTGGCCTTCCGCATCAGGCTATCCAGCTGCTTCCTCTCAGCTACAGATAAGCCACTGCTCCAACCAACAGCTCCATAGAAGATGGCTGATGCCACAACAGAGTTATAGAAGGTCTTTAGGAGCGCCCCCTGCACTCCAAAGACCTCAGTCTCCTCAGCAGAAAAGAGTCTGCTCTGACCTTTCTTATACAGAGCCTCAGTGTTGTGAGTCCAGTCCAGTTTGTTATTTAGATGAACACCTAGGTACTTATACAGTAAGTGTCCACTATCTCAATGTCTGTTCCCTGGATGTTCACCAGTGTCAGTGGAGTGGATCTGCTTCTGTGGAAGTCCACCACTAGCTCCTTGGTTTTCCCTGCATTAATCAGGAAGTGGTTATGCTGGCACCAGACCACAAAGTTCTGGGTCCACTGTCTGCACTCAAGTGATGAGGCAAACTATTGCAGAATCGTGAGAGAACTTCTGGTGGTGGCAGCATGGAGTTGGTGGAGAAGTCTGCAGTATAAAGGGTGAGGAGGAACGTTGCCAGTCCTGTGGGACCCCCGTACTGAATACCAAACTATTTGAGACTCAGCCCTGTCCCCTGATATACTGTGGGTTGCAAGTGAGGTAGTCCAGAATCCACTTGGACATGTGCTGATCCACTCCTGACAGCTCCAGCTTGTCCCTTAGGACTCCTGGCTGGACAGTGTTGAAAGCAGTAGAGAAATCAAAGAGCATGATTCTCACAGTGCTTCTCTAGGTGAGTCAGAGCTTGGTGCAGGAGGAAAATGACGGTATCATCTGCTCCAATCCCATGACGTTAGGCAAACTGCTGTGGATCCAATGAAGCCTTCACCAGGGGGCGTAGATGGTGTAAGACCAACCATTCGAGGGTCTTCATCAGGTGTGAAGTTAGCGCTACCAGCTTGTAGCTGGTACCAATTTAATGTCTGGTATTGTTCCAGACAACCAGGGAACCTCAGTTCACCTCCATTCTTCTAGGAAAAGGTCTGATTTGTGTTGTGTGTCTCCAACATCTGCCTGCCGGCTCTCTAGCACATCATCACTTGCAAGTACCAACGCTCTCTGATGTCACTTTCATTCTGCTGAACCTCTGGTGTGCAGTATACACAGCCAGCTAAATCAAACCCCTACAGATCCATGCTACCTCCCCTTCATTCACTAAATAAGCAAATCAATCAGTTAATCAGTCTCATTAGAACAACCAGAAAGTTCAACTGACTTCCTGTAGTTCTCCACTTTCTTAATTTTTGTTAATTTTATAGACTAAACATTCAAATGTACTGGTTCTCCCTGTGATTCTGCTTGTGGCTCAAAAAAAACTACAAACCAACTTATCATTTCTTATGCTTAAACTGCATCTTTATCCCTGTAACCTTAACTCTGTTTTAACTACATTGCTTTTGTATCTTTAAAAAACCAGAAACGATATTGCAATATAACAGATTATATAATTTCATAAAGTATGAAGTTATTATATGAAAGATGAACATTATTAAATTATTCAGCCAAAAGATGATGCATTTTTCAAATCTTCCCTAGTCTCCTTTTTGTTGTTTCTTAAAGTCATTGTCTTCATAATCACCCTACACCCCCCCACCCCATACACACAAACACAATTTTTTTTAAATCTAACTTTAATAGAGAAGTCATTTTATCCCAGCATTGTTCAATCTTAGGAATTTTTGATTCAACTAAAGAAACTCATTAGACATGAGATGTTTTGAGGCAGGCTGTTACCTTCACATGGTTTGTGTATGTGAAAGAATGCTACTGTCTTAAAAAAGGAACCTTTTTTAGCAAAAAATAAGTCAGAAGTTATTGTTAGATGGCTTAATAAAGAAAATTAATAGATTCTACTGAGATTTAAGATTTTCAAGATATTCAAACTAAATGCCTGGAGAAAGCCTGCAAACATGTTATTAAAGGTAACTTTAAATGTTGTTTGTCTCAAACCCACTATGATTTTATTAAGCTTTTTCTGCTCCAACTTCCTAGTATGCAGTCATTTAGAATATAAAGCATGTTCTTACCTCATAAGCGCTGGTGATCTCCAGTCGATAGAAAAGTGGTACAAATAATTCAGCAGTGATGACAGACATGATGGCGTAAGAGAAACCAAAGAGCCAGAAGGCAGCGCCATAGCCGTACGCCTCTCCAGGTGTGCCAATGACTGTGATGCCAGACATGAAGCTGGCTGTGAGAGACATGGCAACTGGTACAGCTGTCATTTGTCGTCCTCCTAACAAAAACTCTGCACTGCTGGTCTCCTTCCGACCCCGGATGGCTTGGAAAAGGCCGATGGCGGCTGCTCCCACAATTATTGCAGCAAACACCACATAATCCCAAACAGAAAAAGTGGGCACAGGGCCCCCGGTTCCAACCATTGTTAATCTACGAGGGAGTATAGGCTTCCTTGAACCTAAAATAACAGGGAAAATGTAAATATGCGGAATAAACAGTTTTGGTGAAGTTTATGTCCCTAGTTAAGGTAAAAGTAAAACATTACCAGCACTATAAGGAAAAAGATCAATTAAAGATAGCCAGGAAAAGGATTTCATTTGATCAAAGTTAAATTAAATTCAAATTCTCTTTACCAATTAAAGACTTTTTCCAAAAATTAAAGCCCTTAGTCCTACCGTGCCTTCAACTTTGTCGCTTCAGTCTTCAGTAGTTCATTGATAGTTCCAGCACCTCTCATGCAACTAGAAGAAGTCTGGTCAGCTCTAATGCATTCAGCAGACAATAAAGATTAGTTCCCTCAGGTTAATGATCCATCAAGGACACAAGGCAGTGAAGCCTTCCATAATTTCAGAGATTATAAAAGAAGATGATTGTTTGCTGTGTCGCGGATTGCGTTCTGGTAGCAATTAAAAGATTGTTTGGTGTCAATAAATCCATTTTTTGGCATAAAATCATCCAGTGACACATTGATGGGAGATCTGTTTATGTATCTTGGTTACTCAGTACCTCTTGGTTAAATAAAGAGTTCCTGGGGGAGGGAGGCTGGAATCCTCAGGGCTTGGTCTCTACTCCTGTCACCACATCAAATTGTCATTAGTGATTAATATTTACATAATTAATGTTTAGCTTTTCTTTTTTTTATCTACCCAGTACTGCACAAGGTAACATTTCATTTTAAAATCAATTACCAAACTGTTGTAAAAAAAAATGTCTGATTCAATTAGGAACATTTACAGAGATTTAAACATTTTTTTCTTCCTTTTTATAGACATCTTAAGTACTTGCAACCAAGAGGTTTTCTATGTTATCATGTCTACTATGTAAAAGTTGACTGTAGAAAAACCCCAGATGGTTCATAATGACAAGTTTGTTTTCTTAAGATTTATATCAGCATTTGAGAAGCAATGAGTGGCCTTGATACATTAATGCTAATTTAACCTCGCTTAAGTTTATACTGTCAATGTTAAAGGATGCATCTCATCTGCCTCTAAGACTATTAGATATTGAAAACATTGTGTGAAAGATGAGGAAATGAGTCCAGCTTGTTATTACTCTTGTTTTACATTAGAACACATTTATGTTTGTCTGCATGAACTAAAAACATACAGCAGACCAGCTCCGACTCATCAGTGCGTTAAAAACTGCTGCTTTCACTTCGTAATCACCTAATGTTTCCATTACAGTTTGACTACACGGGCCAATGATTGTTCAGACTTACAGATAAGAACACCCCCCATATAATTTTTGATGGGGGTTGGTTTATAATCCTATATTTGTCAATATTTTTTTTTTTTGTGACCATTGCCGTCACTGCTATGTATTATATCCACTATGAAAGCTGATTAGATAAACCTGCATGTAAAGCGCATGCCGTGCCAATGTGTTTTTACCAGCTTTCATCTTTGCTGACGTTAGAGTCAATCTTTAACTCAACGGCGCCAAAAACATACTTTAAACACACAGTAACACACACACAAAGTGACATTATTGCCCACTAACTTTTTTTCTGTTAATATTCAATCCAAAAAAAGGTTGATTTGTTTTAAGGAAAAGGTGGTTAAATTCACTCTTTAACTTATGTAACTCTCATAACATATACAATGATTTTTAGTAGAAGTGAAGAATGTTGGCACTTTGTCACAGTCTGCCATGGGTTAGAGCAGCGGTCCCATACCTTTTTTGCACCACGGACCGCTATATGTCAGACAATATTTTCACAACAAGCCGGTCCCATCTAGGCGTAATCGGAGACAATGACACACGAAGTGTGCTCCTGATGTCCAGTCTGCTCCATAGCTTTGTTTTGGTCGCTGTACCTGCAGAAAATCCTGCTTCACAAAGATAGGATGTTATAGATAGGATGAGTCTTGAACTGAATTAACCTGTGTCAAGAGGCACAGATGCACCGACTGATGTAATTGGGAGAGAAGACCGCAATTTTTTATATTTTTCAAAATAAAACATCACTCAGACTCGTCGATAAATTATATATATATATATATATATATACTTTTTTCTGTGCGGCCCGGTAAAAAATGACCGCCCGGTGGTTGGAGACCGCTGGGTTAGAGAATATCAATATGTTCATGTCATTCACAAAATGGACCAAAACATAAGGACACCACTTTCGTCAGAGATAGACGATAACAGTTAGCTTGGATTAGAGCAGATAGGATTATGTTTTCATGAATAGATTAATGAATAAAGTGTATATATCTATACAGTTCTGCAGGGATGATCAGAGTGAGAGCATTATTGGATCTGTAAGTGACCGTGTCCCTCACTCAACTGATTCTAACATCAATGAAAAAAGAAAATATTGATTCTTGATGTATTCTGTTTTTTTTTGTTTGTTTTCTTTTTCTCTAGCTCTCCTTCCTTTTAGAAACAAACCAGATGAAGGGAAAGCTAAAAATGGAGACATCAGTGTTCAGCTGCTGGGTTCTTTTCCTGCTCTTTTACCCAGCTGCTCCCATGTGTCTTCCCACGGAGTTCACTTTATTTGTGGAAAAGCCAGAATGTGATTATTGTGTTGCAATCAACACTACTATCTGCATGGGGTTTTGCTTTACAAGGGTATGTGTGTTTGTATTAGAGCGGACATTGTTTTTCTGGTTTTTTTTTTTGGTTTTTTTAGGGTAACAGTTTGTTGTACTGATGTCATATGGTTTAAATCCAAATTTTAATTAATTACTTAGAAGATATTTTTATTTGATTTTGCTTAGCTATAATCTTAAACATATATTTTTAATCAGCCTGACTCTAAAAAATTTGAAACTAATGTATTTTAGACGCTGCGCGTTTCAAGAAAGCAGCAGTCAAATATCCTGACTGTGCTGTTGAGAAAAAAAAAAATTACTCCTCCTGTGATCTTAGTTAGGTAATGTCTCCCACAAAAGAGTCATTTGGTGTCATTCTGACAAAACTCTTGTTTCATATTTTTCAAGTTTAATCATACGTTTAGATTATTCTATTTAGTTCATTCACTGCTTTAATCGTGTTAAAGCTTACTCTATGTATGTTCCTGTCAAATGAAATCATCACATGATCATTCAGCTGTTTACCATGTGCTTGTGTATCACGCAGGACAGCAACATGAGGGAGATTTTCCATCCGAGCTTCGTCGTCCAAAGAAGGTGCACCTATGACAGGATGGAGTATCGCACTGTCATTCTGCCTGGCTGTGGTCTTCATTCCAACCCTGTATTTACCTTCCCTGTAGCTCTCAGCTGCCACTGTGGAGCCTGCAGGACTGACAGAGACGAGTGCTCACGCAGAGTCAACAGCTACAATGCTAACTGTGTTAAACCAGTTGTGCGGGTTTATCCATACCCTGGTCAAAGCAACTACATGGTCCCATTTTAATTCCTCTGTTTATGTAAAGAAAGGTTTCCACCTTATCTTCTAATGGACCATATGGTGTTAGCACTGTTTCCTACTGTATCTTAATTTAATCAGGTTTTTGTCTGATAATACTGCTTCATTTTGACTCCTTAGTTTACTATGAGATTGACTTCCAATGTCTTTGTTAGCATAGTTTCTTATGCTTTCTCCGAGACTTTTAATGTTTATGCTTAACTGTATTTTCTGAATACGAGTCAAATAAAGCTTAAACGAAAGGGCTCTCATGATCAGGTGTCCTTGAATTAACCGTGTTCTGGTTCTTACTATAGTGTCTGTTTACTATATAACAAACCTAAAGCTGTTTACATCAACATTTCACCTTCTGATTCTATATTTACTAGAGATCTCATTCAGAGAAGTGAATGATTGTTGACACAACTCTGTTTTTCAGGAGTAAACGGGCGGATGTTTAATCTAATATTTGGCACAAGCTATTTACCAAACAGACAACTGAATGTGTCAGTTTGTAAGCTGCGTCCATATCTCATCCTAAGCCGGGTTTATGAAACTTTTATCGTCCATAAAGGGAGCTTCAATGACAGCTGGAGAGTATTAATAGATCAGAACTTCAGAGTGAGACAATGTGATAAAGTCATCCTATGTGACATTGCTGTTTCATAATCGTTCACTGTATTAGGCCACATTTTCTATAAACATTAAGATGTTATAATAGTTTTTTTGTATATTAAATACATTCTCAGATGTTTAAGTGTCTTAAAATATAAAACCTCAAAAATGTTACATATCCTCTGTTTGGTGATTTTATTCAATTTTACTTTTAAGTTCTTCCCTGTATTTGTTAAAAGGAGTGGTCTGTGTCAGCATTTATCTAAATTAATAGTAAATCAATGTCAACTTAATTTATTTTTATAGCAATAAATAAAAAAACATTTTATGATATAAAATCTAAATCCAGACTTAAACACTGTCTATTAAATATTGATTCTAATAGACTCTAAAACCTGATCATCTGTTTGGCTTTAGAATCAGACATCTTCGAGTCAGGAAAAATATGTTCAGTTACGTAGATACAGATCGTAGTCATGTTTATATTTCATAATGGGTTCAGATAAATTAATATACTGTTGGAAAGGAATAGGTAAACATGCTTAATAAGCTCCCTCCAGAGGTTTTGGTTGAGATTAACTGGTTCAATTATTGTAGAACCCCTCCAGTAGTTAAAAATGTTCATCGTGAAAAACATTTTAAAAAGTTATTTGAAACCTAAATATGCCAGAAATTCAAGTTATTTTTGAGATAAACTATATGCCAACAGGAGTGAGTCCTTTGGTAGAGATTCCTACAGTGGCTAAAAGTGGAATGGAAGGCAGCTCTCAGCTGCCAGCTCAGCTCAACTTAAATGGTATAGCACTTTGCAAACCCAAGGGTTGGTCAAAGAGTTTTACAAAGCAAACCAAGAAGAAAAATTCTAGAAAATAAATATATTTTTATATCCTAGGCAATATCCCATTATATGCAAAATACTACTCCTTAGTCTGCTCTTCTTTTGCATTTTTACTGCTGGAATTACCTTTTTTTTTTTGTTTTCTATACACATGACCAAGTGTTTAAACAATATCTCAAAGACCTGTATTTGTATGTATTTGCCTTTAGTCCTGACAGTTAAGGTAAGTCATCCTCCACTTCCTGAATGATGTTCTATTAAACCTCCAGTAAAAGGAAGTTCTTAGTAAGATAAAGCAATTTTATGGAACTTTAATAGATTGGAAAATGACTCATATGAACAACACCTTTTTTTGTATATGACTAACTCGTGATAGTTATCTGTTGTTTAAATTGCCTAGTTGCAGTTGTGTTTTGTAAAACCTGGTTACCTAAAGGATAAAACGTGTTTCCAAAGGAATTTGCTTGCATCAGCACTCCATTGAGACCAGCTATGTGGTGAACATGCCGATCACCTTTTCAGTCAAACATGCAGTTTTGCCGGGTTTTTTTACTGTGTTGTTCAGTACATCTGATAAAAAACGAATAAAAAGAAAAAAAACTTGAAAAAATGGATAGTTACCAACAGTTTTTAGACAAGATTAGTAACGTAGAAATATATTTTTTGATCCAGTCTTATAGCAGGGGTTGACGTTTAGGATTTTTACCACTTGCCCAAAGGGCAAGTGACTTTCACATTTCATTTGCCCA